GGCAAAGGACTCATGGGTGAAAGCTGCATAATGTGGTGAGAGGACAACGTTGTCCAACCCAATTAGCTCCGCTGGAACATGAGGCTCACCCTCAAACACATCCAACCCGGCCCCGGCGATCTCTCCTTCCAACAAACACTGCACCAACTCCTTTTCGTGTACTATCGCTCCCCGGGCAATGTTGACAATCACTCCGTGCTTCCCCAGAGCCAGAAGAACGTCTCGGTCGATAAGGTGATGGGTTTGATCGGTCAATGCACAGCAGATGATCAAGACGTCTGTTGCTCTTGCCAGTTGAAGCACGTCATCATAGAAGGTGTAGTTGGGCAGCAAATGCTTTTTTGTCTCCCTGGAGTGGTATGAGATGATACACCCAAAGGCTTCGAGCCTCTTTGCCACTTGTTGTCCTATGCTTCCCAGCCCTACTATTCCAACCCTCTTCCCTCCCAGCTGTAACCACCATCGATTATTAGTTCATTCTATGCAGAAAAAGAGCACATTTTATAACCATTTTGCTGGATATCTTGAAACGAAAGTATTAAATCTAAACATTTTAATAGTAATAACCAGTAGTTGCTAGTTAAATATAGGCACACAAAAGGCAAAGATTCAAATAAAAAAGTGGTAAACTGGTAATATTAGCAGAAAAATCTTCTTGTGCATGTTTTATGTATACCTTTCTTACATTTTGTCTTTGTTCTTAACTAATCTAAAACCTGAATGGCTTTTGACCAAATTGTCCACTTGCACACACAACAATGACATGAGTACACTCACATAAAAGGTCTTACAAAAAGAGATATTCCCTCCGTCCGTGCTAAGATCATCTTATCTTTCCTTTTTGCATCCAACTAAGATTGTCTCCTATCAAATTTGGTAAACTTTGTGTTGTTCCAAATCATTTTTACTTTATTCTTACTTTATCAATTTAATATCAACTGCAAAAACTCACTTTTTGTAATAACTGCGTCACCCCCTCACGTAACAGGAGGTAGTGCGTGGCAACATCACATTATTTAAGATATTAAATCACTCTTACCTCAAAGATAATTAAAATAGACAATTTGTTTTTAAGGGAATATTTCAAATTTCAATAAGAGCAGAAACATATTAAATCACCCTTACCTCAAGCATAATTAAAATAGACAATTTGTTTGTAAGGGAATCTTTCAAATTTCAATAATAGCAGAGTAGTGAGACGTACCTTAGAGGCGAGAGGGTAATTCCCTTTGATGAGCCAACTCCCACTTTTAACGTAGCGGTTACAGGCAGAAATTCTTCTGAGAACATCAATCAGCAAGCCAACGGCAAGGTCTGCGACGTCAACAGAGAAAATAGCTGGAGCATTTGCGACGGCAATGCCTAATCGGCGGCATTCCTGAAGATCAATGTGGTCGAGGCCGGCGCTGGTCGTGACGACAAGGCGGAGGCGAGGCAGGCGGCTCAGGACGGAGGCAGAGACCGGTTTAGTAGTGCTACAGAGCAATGCCTCCACCGACTTCGCGTTGTCCGAAAGAAACTCTTCCAGCGGCAGCGACGACTCCCACGGCTTCAGGATTCGGAATTTCTCGGCGAGCTTGCCGCCGTATACGGAGAACACCGCCGGTGGGCCTAGAACTATTAGCTCTGGGAGCTCATTTTTCATAGTGCTTTCTAGCTGAGCCATGATTAGATTGTAGAATTGTAGTTCCACTCCACGGTCTCCACCCTCAGAAACAGAACTTTGTATGTTCCTTACTGCCTTATCATTTTGCTAAAATCATAGGTACACAAAATACAAAAAATGTAGTCTACATCTCTTTTATGGACCATTTTTTGCGTACACAAGTTGTACACAAAATGTATACATTTTCTGTGTACATAGACAATTTGACATCAAATATTGTCCCCTTTTAAATGAATTGTCTATGTACACAGGCAATTAGAGGGGTTTTGTGTACAACTTGTATACAACTCATGTACACTAAGCATTTCCGTCTTTTATAAACCATTTGCACACGATGTTTGTTTATTCAGAGGTTATTGTAAAGGTGTATTATTATTTTTAATATTTGATGACTAAATTTTCATTTAAGAGATCTAATCGTTTCTTAAACTAGAATTGGCATGTTTTAACTAGGACGCTCAATAGAGACAAGTGAGAAGCTTAAGCTGTAATATAGTAAGTATTAATTCTTATTGTTGTTGTTGTTAAGAGACAAAAATAAGCTATGAATGATATTATTTAGGGGGTTTCATTAAATATGACTAATTGAACAAAATTGTGACTGACAAGGTCATACATTTGGAAAATGTGATGTCACTACCAGATTTTCATGTCACTAATAGAAAACAATGCCAAATTTTCATGTCACTAATAGAAAACAATGCCAAATTTTCATGTCACTCTACGTGAAACATGTCATTGTAGGCATGGACCGGTCCCGGGCCGGGCTCCGGGCTGGTCCTGGGCGGGCTTTTTGGGTTTGGCTAAAGGCCCGGAACCGGCCCGCGATTCCACCGGCTCCAGGCCAGGCCCTGGGCCTGTTCATTTTTTATTTTTTTGCTTTTCTAGTTAACCCCCGACCCCCTCACCCCCCCACCTCCCCCAAAACACCCAGCCCAACCCGGGAAACAAAAAACATTGAAAAAAAGGCCCGGCCGGGCCGGGTACCAAAGGATGGGATAGCCCAAAACCGCCCAGCCCAACTCCCCGGGCCGGGCCTAGGCCTGAAACTGGTCTCGGTCCGGGTCTGCACAGTGACGGGCCGGGCCGGTTCCCGGGCTGGGCCAACCAAAATCGGGCCATCACTATGTCATTGTGACCGTTGAAAAAATTTCCGCTGAATTTTCTGGCGAACTTTAAAAGTCACAAAAAATTATCAATATTTTCCGGATGCGGATCCGGTGGCAGCTGGTCAGGTTTGCAAAAGGGAGGGCTAGGGCAAAGATTGGATATAAATTATAATGAAAAAAATGATTTAATTAAACAAAAGATCAATCATATTTTTTTGAAAAAACGGAAAAGTGGTCACTTTTTATATTTCACAAAGCTATAGGTAATATTTGAGTTTTTTTGGGAAAAGTGTCAAATAGGCCGCTACTAATACGGAAAAGTCAATTAAGCCCCCAAACTCAAAAAACACTCAATTAAACCCATGAACTATAAAAAACGAGGCAAAACAGTCCTTTTAGAATGTTGTTGGGATATATTATCCCGGCCTATTACTGTTCAGGAGCCCAAGACATTACTTAGTACGGAGCCCGAGCAGCTAGGCCCATTCCGGCCCACTTTAGCCATTTCGGCCCACTTCGGCCCATGCGGCCCATTAGGGCGGAGAGCATCCCCTCCCCCTATTCTCTATAAATATGGGAGCTTCCCTCCATATTATGGATGGATCCTTCTTCCCCAACTCTTATTTTCTCTCTAGCTAGTTCACTACTCCATTAATGGGAGCTCAAATTGTACTGTGTAATGGTGAGGAGAGTCCTAAAGAGAATGAGAGGGCTTGGACATTAGCCTAAAAAGTCCCGTGGTTTTCTCTCTTTCCGGGTTTCCGGGTTTCCACGTAAAAATAGCTTGTTCATACACTTATACATATATTTACTATATCGTGTTGGATTAAACTCAACAAATGTAATTAATCGATTCCAGGTAAACCTTTACACGTGGCGACAGCCGACAGGTGGCCACAAATGGCAACACATGGTGACACGTGTGCGACACGTGGACTAATGGAACCGGGAACCGGTTAATTACATGATAAAAGGGTTGTTTTGCCTCGTTGTTTATAGTTCGTGGGTTTAATTGAGTGTTTTTTGAGTTCGGGGGTTTAATTGACTTTTTCGTATTAGTAGGGAGCCTATTTGACATTTTTCCCTTTTTTTCTAAATGAGTAGATTAGTATTGTGCTTAGGCTTGGACTCGGGCCCGGTCGGGCTTTATGGGTTTGGGGGTAAGCCCGGAACCGGACCGGGTATCCAGCCGGGCCGGGCCCGGGCTGGGTCCGGTTCAAATGGTTTTTTTTTTTGTTTTCTTGGTTATTTCATCCCCTACCCCCCATCCCCCAAACTAATCAGGAACACCCAGCCCAACCCATGTTAAACCCAGCCCAATCAAAAAAAGAAAAAAAATAAAACAGGCCCGAACCGGGCCCTGCCGGGCCGGTTCACCTTTCAGCCTACCCGAGCCCGTCCCCGCTTTCCCCTCCGGTTCGGGTCAACACCCGGTACCGGTTCGAATGACCGGGCTGGTCCCGGGCCTGCACAGTAGTGGGTCGGGCCAGGTCCCAGGTTGGGTGGCCCAAACCAGCTCCATGACTAATTGTAGTATTGTGTACTTTTTTCCATTGATGTTTTGTGTTCCCAGAATTGTGTTCAAGACTAAACTATTTACTTTTAACTTATATTACTTTCCATTTTCAATGTTAACATTTATAACTCCTGAAAGTGTTTTTATTGCACTCTAGAAATGATTTTTAATTGTTTGTTCATTAAGTATCTATACACCAACCTCAATCTTAAACTAGACATTGGAAATGATTGCAATTTAACCGAGTTCTTTTGTTGTTAGAAATGTTTTTTAAGTGCACTAAATACTTCTTTTATTTAAATATTGTTCTGGGGAGGTACCAACTTGGAGTTGTCATCATCAAAAGTTGTTCAAATAGGGGAGTATAGCAGTTAATGATCTGCATCAAAACCATTGTAGTTTATCATCAGAGGAAACACATGATGGAATTTTCTTCGGGAATACGTGTAGTCGTGTAGAGTCAGTAGAGATGAAAATGAGAACTTGGTTTTAACAAAGCTGACAATGACGACTGACGAGTGGTGTGAACGATGCAGGATTGGCGTTTGATATTAGTTTGAAAGGATACATGTTTCAGTTTTATCGCAAGGTTGGCGTTTGCAGGGTTGCCATCACAGGAACCATGGACCTTCGAACAGAGCCTTTCACTCCTGTATGGCTGTATATGTAGAAAAACAGTTGCAAAAATACCAAAACCATCGTCAACTTTCCCGCATGAGTGCTATTTTGAGGATAAATAGAACTTGGATAAAAATTAACTAACACGTAGAATAACTAAAAGCCATAAAAATCATTGCTGAGACAAACAGAAAATTAAACAAGGTAATTAATTTACAGCACACGTGACCACTTCTGCTCCTGGTTTTATGTAGTGGAGGTAGTAGTAGGGTACTGGGTACATATGGTTCAGGTTCTGGGCTGGAACTGGACCAATTCTACTCAAAACTGAACCAAAATTCCGATCCAGAATTGGAACCATTAAAACCCATATTTGGTTCCAATTACTCCCAAACACGGGCACGGAACTGGCCTGTTTTGGGATTTTAATTTTTTTAGTAACGGAATAAACACCGTTTAGAACTGACGTAGAACGAAAACCATCAATTAGAACCAACCGAGCATGGCCAGCTCCAGTTAAGGCTCATGTTTTGAGTGATCAGAACCAGCTGCCTGGAACGAGAACTGGACTGTGTCCACTCCAAGGTAGTAGATAGATGGTTCAACTTGGAACATAGGGTTCAAAGAGCGCCGCACAGGGATTTGGGTCATGCTGCATTATTTCGGCAGCACGTTCAAACTCCTCTCTTAGAACTCTTATGCTGAACTTGTCTACTACTCGACCCAGATCATGAGAAACCTCGAATGGATCTTCAATGCATATCAAATGGCGATCGTTCCCAATCCTTCTTGTCCAATCTTTAGCTCGCTTGCTGTGATGAATTTGTAAACAAAAAATGTGTTCAACCAGCAAGTTGGATGCAAAAATGAAGAGTTTGTATGGTAGGTGATATACCCAGAAAATGTTTTGAAAAAGAAGAAATAAACTCCATAATACGAAAAGAACAGGAGTTGGCTCGCTTGCTGTGATGAATTTATAAACATAAAATGTGTTCAACCAGCAAGTTGGATGCAAAATTGAAGAGTTTGTTTGGTAGGTGATAAATCCAGATAATGTTTTAAAAGATAACAAATAGTAGTATATTAATAGGGAAAGAACAGGACTATAGGGAGAAGTTTTTCTATTTTGTTCCTTTCAAGAACACTGATGTTTATACAACTACTAATTTGATGTTTATTTAAAAAAATGAAGAATAATCAAAGCACCAAAGCTCCAACAACGATGGTTAACATGACCCAAAGAAATTAATGTCATTAATAGGCACCATTTTTGGGTTATCACTTATCACTCTTATCAACTATTACCTCTGCCCCAAAATGATACTCCCATTTTATTATTCACCGGTCAACACAATTAATTTTATATATCTAATTTTATGCATCAACTTTTTATCATATCCAAATCCAATTTTTTAGATTCAATAAAACTTTATATGTAATTTCTACATATGTAATTATAATTTTTAATTCTAACTGCATTATTGTCAAAGAAAAGTTACTTCTTTTCACAAGTCAAGCTTCAAAATCCGCAATGAGACTATCATTTTGGGATAGGATGAGTAGTTTTTACTTCAACGTGCTAATTGAATCAGCTTATAACAGAAAAAAGTAGCGCATTACCTGCATTAGTTGTGTTGTTTAGTGATAACTGATAAGGCCTAAACCTTACATTTGAAAAACTTAATTTTCCACTAGCTCCTAAATAAACCCAGCAAGTTTTTGTTCACTATTACATACCATATATAGACTTTATTTTGTATTAAATGTGCAAAATCAAATCGTATTATGTAACACATTGATAATTTCTCTCATTACATATTTTAAATATATAAAATTTAACTTTTAACAATAGATAATTAAATATATTCTTGGTAACGTTGTACACTGGCAAACATGAAAGTCAAAAAATTTCAAGTAACAACTGACGGAATAGATAATTCACCAAATTATTTGATATGAGAAATAACTTCGGTCACTTCAACCAATTTAGAGTGATTGACGAAACGGACTCTTAAGTTATTTTCCCCCAATTGCTCAAGTGTTAGAGGTGATGATAGTGGCTATGGTAGAAAAGTTACCTCAGTATGCTTCCTGTGCGTATAGATATGACATCATTTGCATAGTCATGACAATAGGCCCAATAAGTGAAGAATGCCCATACTAAATGAGCAAGGCTTTCTCGGTTACGAGATCCAAAGTTTAGAAGGTCATCCACTTTATCAAAATAAGCACATTCGACATCATCAACATTATTGTAGTATGTTACTTTCATTCCCTAATTAAAAAGGCAACAAACAGCCAATCAGTTTCTAGTCAAATTCTAATTAGGAAAAAGGAGTACTTGATGTTTGACTTCAATTGCAAATCGGCCACTAAATGATGTGCTGAAAGTCGAGACGAATGTTGAGGACATATTTTCACATCTAAGGCCAGACTTACAAGCATATTTTAATCTTTTCCCAATCTAATAAGCAAACATAGTAATGCCTTATTTGTAGAACCATTGATTCTTTTCCTAAAAGCACACTCCCCTTTAATCTTAATGAGAAAGTGTAGTACAACACAATGCATGAAAACAATTTGTTCCAATTATACAGACTCTAGAAACTATGGCACAGATAAAACAGGTAGTAGTTTCAGTTGAAACATAAATGCAAACTAACAGAAGAGTAAAAGACTAAACCCTTCAAGTACATCAGCCACTGGTTCTTGCATCTTCTAAGGGCTTTAATTAGATTGAGGGTATTAGAGGGGTTATGAGAGGAAGTCCGTGGAGGTGTGTAGATCTTAATGCATTTGACATTACGTACAGGTTAAAAGTTAACATAATCTGTGATATATACCACTTTAACCACACTTTATTGCTTTCGAGAAACGTTCTATTTATCAAGATATATAGACTAAATCCTTCTGAGTCTTTCCCTCCGGAAGCCCTCAATCCATAATTTCATATAGACCCTAAAGGGATCTCATATAGACCCTAAAGGGATCTCAAAAGACTGATTATCACAACTAAACTGATTCAAGAAAGGGGAGAAAACCCCAAAATAAAAAAAAAATAAAATAAAAAAAACTTTAGATATACTGGAGCAACTCAATGATGAGAGCGAAATAATACCCTCCAACAAAGTCAGACTATGAAAATATTCATATTACGTTTCACTGTTTAGGGGATTATTCAATAAAGATGAATCAGAACACAGAGAAACAAGAAGAGCTCAAAAGAAAATAGATCAAAGCAAACCTGTAGGCAAGGGAGGATGGCAGGCCTCCGCTGCTGCAACAAATGAATGCACATCAAAACATACCTGGGGGGACAATTCAAGAAAGTCTGAAGCATAATTAAAAGCAAACAAAGAAAGTGATGAGATATTTAACAAAGAAAACCAAAACCACTAGAGATGGCTATCGAAAAATACATCATTAACTTACGCATAGCTTGACAGTGTCCCGCAATAAGTCTCATTCACTCCTCGTGTTTTAGCCCAGTGTTTAACAATAAAAGCTAATTGCCTTAATCTTGCATCAATCTGTGCATAGTCCCGAAGCAGCTTTGTATTCTCAACAGCCAGCAAATTGTTCACACAAATGTCACAAGATATACCAGTTTCGGGATCCATGAGTTTAACAATGGGCACCCTGGCATGTACCAATGCCTATATACATGTCATAGTCAAAGAGCACAAAGTCGTCAAAGAACCATAAATATGCATAAACCGCATAGGATACTGAAACGGGGAACTTGACATTGTGATATGGAAAGAAGAAGCTCATTATACTGCCTTTATTATTCATTATTATTATTATTATTATTATTATTATTATTAGTTTCCTAAACTAAGTTTCCTAAAGTATTGGGTGTAAGTTTCCTAAGGTTGTTATTAGTTTCCTAAAGTATTTTTTTTATGAATGTTTCCTAAAGTATTAGGTGTTAGTTTCCTAAGATTATAATTAATTGTAGTTTCCTATTAGTAGAGATATTCTATTTTAGTCAATTTCCTAATAACCTTAGGAAACTAACACCTAATACTTTAGGAAACTTACTTTAGGAAACTAACACCCGATACTTTGGGAAACTTACTTTAGGAAACTAATAATAATAATAATGAACAATAAAGGTACTAAGGTAGTATAATGAGCTTCTTCTTTCCATATCACATTGATACTGTAGTTGCATCTGGGGACCGAAGCGAGCCACTCCATCCGGTTCACAATATGTGTCGCTTAGGAACAAATTAAACAGATTAAGTGAATATTAAATGAAGGAATCTCTACAATATTAAACCTCACCACATTTCATAGGGGTCTTAAAGCAAGGCAAAAATGGAAAATATGGCATTCAATCGTGCGTTGATTATTGATAACGACACATACTGTGAACCAAACCTAAAAATGACACTTGATATGACCCAGATGGAATATAAATAAAGATGAGATCGAAAAAGTATATGTTCAACATCCCAACATACTAACCTGCACATTTTGGAGCTTTTCATCTTCCAATAGCTCAGCCAACCTCAGTATGAGGTCTGATTTGTTAATACCATTGTCACCAATTGCAAGGCAAATATCAATGTCACTTTTTGAAAACCCAAATGAATTGGAGCATGATCCATAAGGATGGAGCCGAGCATCAGGCCATTCTTTAGCAACAATTTTTTTCAGCAGTGTCATTAACTGCTCTTGCTTTGCTTTTTCTTCCTCAGACGAGATCAATGACTGATAAATATCGAGAAATGGGGCATCATACGAGCATATATCACTACGGCATTCAATTAGACTCTTCATTATTCTCTTCTGGTGGCCAAGTAGCCATTTCCCTCTATTATCAGATCTATTATTTTCCTGATCAATATTGTAGAAGAAGAGCCCTCAATGAACATTGTATTATTGTTTAAGTTGCACAATAAAAAAAATTAGAGAAAGGTGGCACAGACATAATCTAGTAATTCTCAAACTATGTTGGAAATTTGAGCTTTGAAACATGATCAAATATCTGTTTTTAAAAATTTAAAATAAATTGATAAGGTAAAACAACATATATTAGCATTGAACAAAAAAAGAAAGCATATTGTGTGTAGTTTAAACAAGTTCACAGAGAATAAACAAGTAGCACAACATACAATTCAACAAACAAATACTCTGAAACTTTTAACATTGTTTTTGAAAGTTTTTGCCTTTTGGCTACAAATATGGTACTCCGTATATTATAATATTATTATAAATCATTACGCGAACAGAATCTTTTAAAATCCCAGTTTATGGTAAAATTACTACAAAAAATAACAGCATGCAACAAAAAAATGTAGAGAGAAAACGGGGGAACAAAGGCCTTCATTTTTTTCAAATCATTACCCTTTCACGGGATCCATATCGCTTATTCTTATCTGCTCTCTCATCTGATCCATCTTCAATTCCAAGAGAACTTATAAGTTGTTCTTGCAGATCTGCTAAACTCTGGCTTTCATCCTGAACTGTCCTTATCTCACCCTTAACCCTATTTCTGGATTCTCCCCTGCTTGGACCATCACCACTGTGTAACCTCTCAAAACCAGAAGATGAAACAGAGGGCATTTTGATTCCTGGTGATGGACCAGCCTGATCAAGGTGACTATTAAGCCTTTGATTCATCACATTGCGCTGGTCCTTCCCCTTATCCATACCATGCTCAAAATATCTCATCTCATTACCATATGCAGCTTTTCCTCCAGTGCTATAATTGTTAGGATTGCTCATCGAAGGTACCCGAACTCTATTATTCTCTCTCCAGTGCCTTTCCCTAGCATTACCATCCGAACTTTCTTGTTGGTATCCGGGTAGAGCATATTTGTTAAACTGAGTCTCTAAACCAGTCGACCTACCAGCATGTCTACTAGTAGTTTCTCTCCCGTTGTGAATAAAGCTCCTAATTTCAGAGTCTCTAGTTACCGTTTCTTTCAGATTTGGGCCCTCATTATCCAGCATCCCCATGCGCAAAGACCCAAAAACGAGATTTTGATCCAACACACTAGAAGAACGAGGCCTGGAGCTCGACCCAGAGAAGTGGACTTTGTGGGCATCTTCTATGGCTGAGCGGTGACCTAGTTGGGGACCGTGCTGCGGGGTAAGATTGAAGCCACCCGGGCTGGTGGAGAAATTGGGATTAGGGTTTTGGGGAAACCCTCGAGCGAAGAAATCGTGAGGGGCAAAGAAGGGCGTACCAGATGGAGGTGAAGAGTGCTGCCAAGAAGAGAAAGGGAGATCGAGACCGTTGGAAGGATTCTGGTAGGATGGCGGTAGCGGGACAGAGGGTCCCACTCTGGCAACTGCCGGATCATGAGTCAGACTATGAAGCGTAGGCGCATGCGCTGATGGAGGAGCACCTGAAGGACGATTGGGAGGTTTCTGGAGCAACTGGAGAAGGAACTCACCGCAGTTGGGAGCCGCGGATGTCGCCGGCTGAGGCGGCGGCGCGTCACCCCCACCAGTTGCCAGGGTGTTCGACATCTTCAGAGACAGCCCACGATTTGCGTGTGTAAATATAGATTAAGATGATAGATAGATTTCATAGAGATGATAGGTAGCAATCAAACGTTTGAACTACTCCACAATTCTGCTACTACTACTCTACTGGTACACTACCACTGGGACTCTGGCAGTATGCATCTGGTATACCTCGCCACGAAACGACGTTTTGATTGCACCAAAACGGGACAGAAATGAGAGGTGTACACCAAAATTTAAATATCACCATTTCCATTTTATTTAACTTTTAGTTTTCATCATCTTGTATCTTCATCACATTCCAACTTCATCATATCAACTTGTGTTTCATCTTGTTTATTTTATCATCACCACAGATACTACCAGAATTATTGAAATTTTGATAAAACTTGATATTTTTCGTAATGACAAAAAATATTAATGTATACAAGATTAATGTATGTATATGCTGACATTTATTAGTGTGTAAATTATATTGATTTGTGTGCTATTTTGTAATAACATCGGGGTTAGATTGCAAAAACTAATGTGAGTTTTGTCTGTGAATAAACATTAGTTGCATGTATACCAACAAAAAGTGCATGTACTTGTACGTTTTTTTTAACTGTGTATACAGACATTGATTTCCATGCAATACTTCTGTACAACATTTTTTGTCTATGCACACGGACACTGAAAAAACAATGTCCAAACATTTTTGTTTGTTGTAAAATTGTGTCATTTTTCTATGTGAAGATTTTGTGAAATATTTATGTTTTCAATTTATTTGAAATATAATAATGTGTTTATGTTTTATACATAATTACTCTACAAACTTTTTATTGCATCAACTTATTGTGCCATACATATTTCCAATGTCCCACAAAATTTGATCAAGTTTGACTTATGCGTAATAGAGAATAGAGAAATTTCTATAACCACATATATATTACTTGAAATGAAAATGGTAAATTTTTTGTGACGGCTTAAAAGGAAAGTTGATAGGTATTGTGAGAGAAAGGAAGTAATATTTTAGAAGCGCCACCCCATATCAACTTGATGAGTCTTTCAATAGGGTTGTAAAAGAATCAAATAATTTGTGCTCGATTCAAGATTCGAATTCGTATAAGACTACTTGAATTCAAAAAATTCAAATACCAATAAGAATACTCAATTCAATTTGAATTGTTATCAAATACAAATAAGAATATCAATATATTTGATTCGAATGTTAAATCAAATATATTCGATTAACAATGGTGATAATTTTCATAATAACAGATTAATAGTATAACGCTAAATAACTTTTAGAAGTTGGTTATAGTACTAGGGGTGGGCAAACGAGCACAAAAACCGTAGGTTGGGCCGGGTAATACAGGTTCGGAGCAGGTTGGGGTCGGGTCCTAATGTTCGTAAATTCAAACGGTTCGGGGCGGGGCAGGTTCTTCAAACGGTTTGAACCGGCCCGCTTCAAATGGGGCAGGTAAAAATCCGCCTCCTATTTCAAGATTTAGTATACTCGGACTGAACCTATCCGTTAAATGGAATCAACGGTTCTTGGATTTTTTTTCAATTACCCGGACTAGCCGGGACTACGCCCACTCTTAGGTCATACCCTCAAAATGTAGCTCATATATACATTTACATATACACATTCTAAGCTCATTTGTAAGAAATCAAGAGTATCATATTGAGTTAAAGTTATAAGCGAAGCAAATAATTTCAATTCAATTCTTGATTTGAATTCAAAAATTATGATTTAAATTTGAAAACATAGAATATAGATACAGGTATAAATCAGATTTTTTTGTTCAAACATCTTTCAAATACGAATACAAATAATTATGTATTCAATTCGAAGAATAATCAAATATATTTGTTTATACATATATAAAATCAACTACCTAGTATGTGTCTGCATCAACTACCCACTATATAGTACTGCCTCCGTCCCGGTAGACTTTGCCAAGTGCAAAGTAGGTGGGAAATAAGAATAGTAAAAACTGTATGGTTGAAATTTGTGCAGAGGTGAGAGAAATGTGCTGAACCACAAATTAGTTGTTTTAATAGAAAAGTGGCAAAGTTTTTTGAGACAATCAAAAAGGGAAAGTTGGCAAAGTCCAATGGGACGGAGGGAGTATAAACTACATACCTAATGTCTTTTATTAATTTCAATAATGCAAAATGTCTAACATAAAATTGGAGTCATTTGACTTTGATATAGACAATTATCAACTTATAGCACACATTAATCATAAAATTGATTCACTTTGGTATATCGCGAACAACCTAAAAATACATCAATCCATTAAACTTTAAAAAAAATATACAAATTATATTCTAAAAACACATATCAAGTCAAAGTATGCATTTATAACATGACAATGTTGCCCTAACTCGTACAAGGATATCGTCGTCTAATCTGGTGAAGCGGCCGTCGACGCCAGCCCTTCAGTCTCCGGCAGCATGAATGCCTTCTAGAATGCTGCCAAGGAGGCTGCAACCTCCGCCAATTGGCACCCTTGCACCCAGTTTTTGATTCATTTCAGCCCCATCTCTGTCAAATGATCAATGATCAACAGTAGATCTAGTCATTCCAGTAGGAGCATGATACGACAGGTCAGTCCAATTGATAAGAACAGAAAAGTAATAATCAACAATAGAACCCATTGTCCGGAGCCAATGGGGTAAAATCTAATTTTATTAAGTCTAACAGATAACCAAGAATGAACCCTAACAAGGGGTTTAAAATTTAAATACACATCTACTAATTCGTAATTCCCAAACTTGGAAACAAAATCATAGGAATCCTAACCAATTCCAATTAGGAACCAGAATAATAGAAATCCTAAATAACTTCAAATAAGAAACAAAGAATAGAAATCCTAATTAACTCTAAATAGAAAACAAATAATAGAAATACTAAGTAACTCCAAATAGGAAACAAATAATAGAAATACTAAGTAACTCCAAATAGGAAACAAATAATAGAAATCCTACTTAACTCCAAATAGGAAAAAATCAGAAATTTATAAATAAATAAAAAGTAATTAAACAGCCCGATCAGCTTGTGTATTCATGTTGTCATTATATAGCCTGCCTTAATTCCTCACTGTTGTTTTATTCTAGCATTACTTAATAACATTTGATTTTCAAATGAGAGTTTAAAGGCGATGAGATGGAACGTGAAAATGTCCAAGAAAAAGTGGTCTGCATGAAAATGTCCAACATGGTCCGCCACTGACCAGAGGTCCAGAACAGCAACATGCTTAATAGCTCGCAAGTTAGACAAATTTATTGCGGACTGCGGAGTTTATGATCAAATACACCTGATAAACAACACCTCAATAAGATGAAATAGACAAAAACACAAAATTAGAATTTACGGCAAGAACAATTTAAAAAAATGAAGGGAGGTGAGCAAATGCTGTACAATGTTGGGTGGAGAGCAAACCAACACACTTGAGAAGTCAGAACAGAATGTATAAACATGATGAAGTGAATCCGAGCGTTTTATAAAAAATGCCTAGTAGTGTGACAGAAGAGCTATTCAGTTTTCTACAGAGGCTTAGAGCCACCATTTTCTTGAACAGGTGGGTTCACTGTGGTGGTGGATGAGGTACTGTTCCTCTGACTCTTCGTGCTGCTTCCAGAATTACCCCCAGTGAAGGTCCTACCCATAAACCTTCCAGCTTTACTTAGTCCACTGCCGACAGCTCCAAAACCACTACCGACCACCCCAACACCAGCACCTATACCGCTGCCCACAAGTGATGCCGCCCCGTCTAGGGCGTCCATTGTGCTCCCAATCACCCCATCTGCTTTCAGCTTCTTCCTTTCTTCTAAGATCCTCTTCTCTTCCTCCAGTGCAGCTTCCTGTTCTTCCTTGTTGAACTCATAATACAACACCTGAAGTAGTTCAAGAACTCGAAATATTTGTTAGCTTCAATTTACCAAGAATTTGCCAAGGAATAGAAATAAGTGGTTGTCTGGTAGGCCTTTTCTGCTTATCAGTGAGGTTTTTTACCGCATATTTATTGGATTGTGCGAGTTGACTTGTTTACTAATAAAAATAAACAGGGTGGAGGTTTTTTTGCTGAAGTTTGATCATTTCAGCCTTTTTACCTATACTCCCGTTTTTTAGTTGCTCCTTGCTCCTTTTACGAAAGTTTATTAATTTAATAATATTTGCTCCATTACTATTTTTGGCCACTACCATCTCACTTTTTCTACCCCTTCCCTGCTTTTTCTACATTTTCGTTTACTCTTTACTGCTTTTTTCTTATACTGTTTATTCATTACCCCCAATATTTTGCACTTAGAATCCGCGGAAACCCTACATTGACAAAATGGAAGGAGTATATTTTCTTTATTTTATCAAAAATGTATATTTTATTTTTATGTTTACAATTCAAATACTTCACCAACAAGCTAGCCATTTGAGCCCAAATTAGCCCTTACAAGACAAGCTTTAATCATTATTCATATTCCAAAATAACCAGATACCACTCAATTGTATAATCAACAGCAGGCATATAGACACACCTTAATTGTAATGGTCCCTCTATCCTTTTTGTCTTTGACTTTAAGCATATCAAGTTTTGGCAGCAATTTTAACTCAATTTCTTTTGGGGTTTCAGCTTCTAAATCTTTCAAAGGTAACTTAGCAACACCCATTCGCTCATCTTGCCCAACATTGTCTTTATCAAAGACCTGTTAAGAGGAACTCAATAGTAAATGCAGTCATAAAAATATACAATCTTAAAAAGAGGAATAAAGTGATAAACACAACCCTGTGGTCCACATTTAATAACCAACTAACAAATTATGCAAGGACTTGAGGGATTATTCTGGCACACAACTTCTATATCAAACAAATTCGTGTTCAACTTCTTTCAAATAATCCTGTAAGAAATATATATAAATAAAACTAACAATAGTAACTTAACCACTTGATAATATTTTTTCCGGCAAGGGTGAGGGTTATCATAGAAACTTAAGCTATAATCCATTGGTTCTGTTTGGAAAATATAGTGATTACAGGCCATGATGATGCACAATATAAATAACTATATAATCTACTTCAAATTTCTTGCTCCTATAAAGTATGGGCTTGACTTAGCTCTATAATATGTGGCTTAATCCATGATCAAATCTTTGCCAAGCATGTAAAAAGTTAGAAACTTGACTATTTATTTAGTCTCGGGAGATCTTTTCCAATGGATACATTAGAATTTAAGACTTAGTTCATGTTCTCGAGATACAATAACTGATTAAAGTAAAGAGTCAGTTGAACTTTTCCAGATATTGCCGAATTGGGAGGCACTTGACAATAGAATGCAAGACAGTGTGTTTTAAATTAAAAATA